TCATGAGCAATTTTCATTTTGCTCTTGGCTAGTGCATCCTTCTGAGCGAGACGTTTATCCGTTACCTCGGCTGGCATGACGGGTAGTGCGATCCTCATAGGACGTCCAAATAAGAGTTCACCAGGCGACTTGCCCAGTGTTCCATGTGGTGTTGCACGGTAGTTCCTGAGAAAAGCATACATAGCTTGTTTCCAAGATCGTCCTTCGGCATGATCACAGCGTACCGCTTTCATGAGAGGTTGCATGAATCTCTCGACTTCTCCATTTGCTTGAGGATGTAATGGCATCACACGGCGGTGTTTGAATCCGATATGCTCAGAAAAGTTGACGAAGTCTTGTCCATTGAATGGCGGTCCATTGTCCGTCTTGACAACTTCAGGAATGCCAAAGTTTGAAAAGATCTTGTCGAGTTTCGGGATGACGGCCTTTACAGATGTGGAAGTGATGATTTCTACTTCTGGATAACGTGAGTGATCATCAATGACTACCATCAAGTACTCTCCAGTTGGTAGCGGTCCGCAGAAGTCCATCGATACTTCCGTCCATGGTGCAGCAGGTAGTGGTGAAGGTTGTAGAGGTGTTGGTCTTGAAGTATCCACTGCAGCTTGGCAAGGGACACAGGCATCATGCATGTCCTTTGCTTGACGATCAATGCCAGGAAACCATACCTCTTCTCGTAGCAGCTGTTTGGTCCTAACAAGACCTTGGTGTCCTTGATGTACAAGCTTCAGAGCACGTTGCTGGAGAACAGCTGGAATGACGATACGAGTACCTCGCAGCACAGTGTCGCGTTGTTGCGTAACACTTAATTCTGTCTGGATGCGTTCAAGTGCTTTGAATGCATCTTGGTCAACTCCTGAGGGTGGGATGCGTGGAAACTTTTTCTTAGTCAATGCATCCACTGTTGCTTGCAGAGTTGGGTCCTCTAGGGTTGCAGTACGGATTTCATCAAGAGTGAGAGCCTTAGGGACTGCATCACAGGTTACAGAGTGTACATATTCCTCGGCAACTTGAATTACATCTGGGTTAATGTGCAGCTGAACTTTGCTATCAGTATAACAATCTGTAGGTTCAAATCGATCAAAAAATTCAGCAACAATAGCATCAACATTGTTTGCTGATTCCACTGCTACAGCATTATCAAGCTGAAGTAGCCCCAATTTGGTTGAAGTCTTGTAACTGAGTAGAGATTCCTTTGCATTCCTAACAACATGGAATGTAGTAGTGAGCATTGCACTTTTTGACTTAATCTCTGCAGTGAAAGTTCCAATCACTGGCAAGGCTAACTTTGAAGCATAGGCAGTGGCTTTGCCATTATAGTTCTCAAGCTTTGGGAACTGTTTTTTAAATTTCTCATAGTGGCACTCAGCAATGGTGTCAATGTTTGATCCAGTGTCAATGAGAACTTTGTGATAAATACCAGCAATGTATACTATAGTCTCTGGGTTGTTTGGAAGATCATTCCATTCTGTGATTGATTGTACCCCATAAGTATAATCACATTCACTGTCATCTGAGACTGGCTGTAATGACATGTTGTCTTGTACATTATTAACATTCTGGATATGAGGTGCAATATTGTGTTTACCACCTCGACCCCTATGACCTGATCCTCGTACAGTGCTTTTATTCACTGACTGTGGTTTCTTTAGTGCGGAACGACACATAGCACCAAAATGACCTAGTTTTCCACACTCATAGCACTTCTTACCTTGAGCAGGACAAACATTACCTTGGTGTGGGTAGTCTCCTCCACAATTGTAACATTTATTGTTGACACCCTCTGATGTGGGTCGTTGTGACTGCTTGAGTCTTGTTCCGTGACTCCAGTTGTGATGTGATTATCGGCTCAATTTACTGTTAGGTTTGCCATGATATCTTTTATGATCACGGTGTCCTCCCTGAACCTTACATACCTCATTACTGTTAGTAACAGTAGCAGAACCGTTGTTGGCACTGCACTCCATGGCACCAGCATCACGTGCAGCATCTTCCATTCGACGAGCAATATCCAGTATCTTGGTAAGAGAACTGTCATCATCAACAAGTTCTAGAGCTCTTCGACGGAGACACGTAGATGTACATGATTCAATTATTTGCTGTTTGATTTCTTTGTCAACATCAGCAAACTCACAATGGGCTGCTAAACCCTGCAGACGTGTGTGGTATTGATCTACAGTTTCATGAGAGTTGTCTGGCTCTCCTGAAATGCATAATTTCCACTGCAGTATTTTGTCTTGGTTTGAAATGTTCAGTTAATTTGGCTTTGGCAATGTCATAATCTTTGGCACCACCAGTGTCTTTCAGTGTGTCAAAGATGTCACAAACCCTGAGGGCCACCATCTATAGTTGCGTCGACGGGGACAGTAAGCCCTGAGGGCCACCACCTCTAGTGGCGTAGACAGGGACAGGAAGCCCTGAGGGCCACTGCTTCTAGTGGCCTCCACAATGTAGGACTGAGAACAGGAGATGCTTCTTCAGCCACAGGGTTATAAACCTATGAAGCCACCTACCTGCCCAAGCCCTAAATGCCAGGATATTACTGTAGTTGACAATATAGTACAGTTAACAAATTCCCAGGAAATATTGGAGGGACCTTTATATGTATTTATTTATATATACCAGAGCTCTTACATCCTTTTAAAGACACTTTAGCATGCATAACATTTTGGTCAAGTCCTTAACCCTAATTTTTCCCCGGAATAAAACTCGCTAAATCATTAAATAACCAGATACCCATTCACTGCTGGGTGAACAGAGGTAAGGACTTGCGCCCAGTCAATCCTCCCCGGCCAGGATATGAACCCAGGCCAGATCACTCGCAAAGCACCGGGTGAGTGTTTTACCACTGTGTCACGGGGACTGGTTTGATAAGCTATCGGTTTCCTATCCTCGTCATGGCCATTATATAGATGGTTAATTCAGGCATATAATTCATGCCTTGATTTTTTTTTAATTAATCATAGGAGTTGATGACGACCACAAGGATTGTGCTCTCCGGATTGACTTATGGATGATGTGGGAAGTTGTTGACCAGACCATACACTAGAAATTGAAGGGACGACGACGTTTCGGTCCGTCCTGGACCATTCTCAAGTCGATGATGTGGAGACCTGGTGCCTTCAGGGGCCTACCATTTACCAGCCACCACAACTAGAGAGTCCTGGATAGTTTTGAGTGAATTATTTGTAGCTTCATTTTGCGATTCTTGATGTTGTTTGCATTGCTTCACTTGTTTTCTGGGTGATCATAACAATCCTCAGCTCTCTCTGCCTCTCTGAGTAGGGCCACGTTCCCAGTAGGCCAAACTCTATTCTTTTTAGGGGGGGTGACTCAGTAGTATGAGGAAGGCATCTCGGCGGACTGCCTCAGGGAACCTCTCAGACTCTACCAGAAATAGGTGTTTCATTACATTCGATGGTTTTTTATTTTTTCCATTTGCATTTTGAACTGCAGTAATGTCATAGCATTTACAGCTGTGGTATATAGGTGATTCCATGGGTTAATAACTTTACAGGTGAAAAATATTAGTTACCATTTCTATCAGCTTGATATCAAATTAATTATTGTTACCTAAGAAATGGAACTCATTCCAATTGAAGGGCGCAATTGTGGCATGAACATTGATGTAAATTTGGAGAGAAATGAAGTAATTCTGGTCAAACTTGTGGCCATGAAAAATCCAAATGGTTAACACTTATCACATAGTGAGGGTCAGCTCCTCTTCCTCATAACTGTTTACATTCATCACATAGTGAGGGTACATAGTCACATTCAGGGTACATTCATCACATAGTGAGGGTACATAGTCACATTCAGGGTACATTCATCACATAGTGAGGGTACATAGTCACATTCAGGGTACATTCATCACATAGTGAGGGTACATAGTCACATTCAGGGTACATTCATCACATAGTGAGGGTACATAGTCACATTCAGGGTACATTCATCACATAGTGAGGGTACATAGTCACATTCAGGGTACATTCATCACATAGTGAGGGTACATAGTCACATTCAGGGTACATTCATCACATAGTGAGGGTACATAGTCACATTCAGGGTACATTCATCACATAGTGATGGTACATAGTCACATTCAGGGTACATTCATCACATAGTGAGGGTACATAGTCACATTCAGGGTACATTCATCACATAGTGAGGGTACATTACATTCATCACATAGTGAGGGTACATAGTCACATTCAGGGTACATTCATCACATAGTGAGGGTACATAGTCACATTCAGGGTACATTCATCACATAGTGAGGGTACATAGTCACATTCAGGGTACATTCATCACATAGTGATGGTACATAGTCACATTCAGGGTACATTCATCACATAGTGAGGGTACATAGTCACATTCAGGGTACATTCATCACATAGTGAGGGTACATAGTCACATTCAGGGTACATTCATCACATAGTGATGGTACATAGTCACATTCAGGGTACATTCATCACATAGTGAGGGTACATAGTCACATTCAGGGTACATTCATCACATAGTCACATTCATCACTTCTCATCTTTATCATTTTCTCCTACCAACATGCATTCAAATCTCATTAGCTTGTACTTTTTTATTTGTTTTTGTATACATTAATAGGTAAATTTAAATTAAAAGCAGTTGTAATTTGAAATATATATGTAAGCAATTTAACAAATTGTACAAGATTAAGGCATATTTTGTATCCTTTTATTTGTAATTAACTTCACGCATACAATCATAAAATTTAGCAACATTTGGCTCATCTTTCATGGTTTGATAAATGAGGAATTTTGATACAAGGTGGGGGGGAGGGGGGGGGGTATATTGATACACACAATCATCCTTTGTAAGTTCAACTCCCAGTTGAAGCACCGAGAGCGCATGGGGTCCTCCCAAGGCTTCAGATTAAGCTGTTGCCAGCAATTCTTAAGGCATACATAAGGATCATTACAGATGCTCGGTTGGCAATACTCTCCAAGGAGATGCCTGGTAACTTTTTACAATTTCATATTATTGTTTTGGGTACTAGTAATATCCTGAAGCCCAAACCCAGAGTCATCTTTGGTCATAGGTTGTGAGCTCGTAAGTGGCTCGTGTGGACGACCACTACCACTGGGTACTGGGCTAGTAAGTCGCTCGTATGGACGACCACTACCACTGGGTACTGGGCTAGTAAGTCGCTCGTGTGGACGACCACTGCCACTGGGTACTGGGCTAGTAAGTCTCTCGTGTGGACGACCACTGCCACTGGGTACTGGGCTAGTAAGTGGCTCATGTGGACGACCACTACCACTGGGTACTGGGCTAGTAAGTCGCTCATGTGGACGACCACTACCACTGGGTACTGGGCTAGTAAGTCTCTCGTGTGGACGACCACTACCACTGGGTACTGGGCTAGTAAGTCGCTCATGTGGACGACCACTACCACTGGGTACTGGGCTAGTAAGTGGCTCGTGTGGACGACCACTACCACTGGGTACTGGGCTAGTAAGTGGCTCGTGTAGACGACCACTACCACAGGGTACTGGGCTAGTAAGTCGCTCGTGTGGACGACCACTACCACTGGGTACTGGGCTAGTAAGTCGCTCGTGTGGACGACCACTACCACTGGGTACTGGGCTAGTAAGTCTCTCATGTGGACGACCACTGCCACTGGGTACTGGGCTAGTAAGTGGCTCGTGTGGACGACCACTGCCACTGGGTACTGGGCTAGTAAGTCGCTCGTGTGGACGACCACTACCACTGGGTACTGGGCTAGTAAGTCGCTCGTGTGGACGACCACTACCACTGGGTACTGGGCTAGTAAGTCGCTCGTGTGGACGACCACTACCACTGGGTACTGGGCTAGTAAGTCGCTCATGTGGATGACCACTACCACTGGGTACTAGGCTAGTAAGTCGCTCATGTGGATGACCACTACCACTGGGTACTAGGCTAGTAAGTCGCTCATGTGGATGACCACTACCACTGGTTACTGAGCTCGTAAGTTGATCATGTGTACGACCACTACCACTGGGTACTGAGCTCTTAAGTTGCTCATGTGTACGACCACTACCACTGGGTACTGGGCTAGTAAGTCGCTCGTGTGGACGACCACTACCACTGGGTACTGGGTTACTGTGGCTGCTACTGATGGGAGCCAGCCCTGTTGCTTCTTCAGTCTGACTTATCACTTAAAGATACAGAACTTGCTCTGTGACTTCCCTCCACACCACTTGTGGATAACAGCTGTGTTGAATCTTTGCTTCGAAGTCCATGGAAAGAATATGGCGTACCTTTTGGGGTTTCCTTGTCCAAATTAAGTGCTGGTTGGGCGTCTTTACTGATTCCAGTCACCATTCTCGTTTCAGTTCTATTTATCACATAATACACTTTGCTGCTTTCTTCATGCCCTAGCATATTTGCATCTTCATTTATTGAATGCATGTCTTCCTTCTGTTTAGCTTTACTGACTATTAAGTCATCGTCCTTTCTTTTCTGTTTCTTGTTTCAATAAAGGTCTGTTGGGGCCCCTGAGGGATTATCTTTGGATACTAGTTTGGAAGAATCTGCATCATGTCTTCTCTTTGTTCCTTTCTTATTTTCTCTTGATTCCGATTTCTCTCGCCTGGAACCTATCTCGTTTGATGTTGATGAACATCTGTGTATTTTAGTGCTTTCTCTCTTGTCTTTGCTGTGTTTACGCTTCCTTCTAAATGATTGGCCAATACCAGCTTTATCACTGCCATTATCTGTCTTCCTGCCGATACTGTTTTCATGTTTTTTCTTTAATGTTCTGTTATAATTCTTACTGCTGTTTGTCAATTGATGTTTGCCACTTACTGAACTGCTTTTGTCATTCTCATCACTGCTTATACTTTGGTAATTACTCTTATTCTTCTTGTCAGAGTCATGTCTGTGTTTACTAACTGATTTTCTATTTGTATTGCTCTTGTGATATTTATTATTTAACTCACAGGTATCAAAAACTTCAGGGGCACATGTACATTGATTTTTGCTGTATGATGTGCTGCTATCATCGGTTTGGCTGTCAATGCTGCTTTGATGTCGATTTTTCAATATTTTTCTGTCACTTCCACTCTCACTTTTTGGTCTGTTGCTTGCTATGTTCACTGTTTAAAATACTCTCATTGTTATCACTCGTACGCAGACACTTTTTGTCTGATCTGCTTGCAGTACTTTCACTATCGGTTCTGCTGCAATGTTTATTTAGCACTAGCTTTCTATCTCTAGCATTTATGCTCTTGTTTTTGTTCACAAGTTTACTATTTAATGTTCCATTATCACTGCTGTCACTGGAACTGTGAGTTTCCCTGTCTAGTGATGTGGCATCACCGCTACCACTCTCTATGTTGTATCTAGGCTTGATATGTAGCCTTTAACTTTATCCCAGTCTTGCTGGAGTCCTTTTCAGAAAAGACCTGCTGAATATTGGCACTGGTACTTTTGTATGCACCTGTATCCAACCTACTTTTTAATGTTCTGCTAACTTTTGCAGAGTCTGAATGTGTATAATCCATTTTCCTTTCCTTTCCAGTATCTACAGAACCACCATTATTCTTCCTTAATAATTCACTGTTTTCTGCAGTTTTGTCTGAATTCATGCCTGCAACAACACATTCGTCTTTGGTTTCTGTAGAAGAATCTTGATCTTTATGTATCATCGATACACTTAACTTTTTTATGAGACAAGGCGTCCTTTCTAGACTTCTAGAGGCTGCATTGAGGGTTCTTGTAAAAATTTTCTGCTGTGGTTAGCTACACTATCCTTTTCCTTTAATCTAATTTTATTATATCCAAATTTTGTAGCAGTATATAATTTTTCTATGACGACAGGTGAAACAGACTTGGGTGTGTCAGTTATCACTGAAGATATCTTTTCGTCAGTTAACATTTGCTCTTCCAAATGTTTCTGTCTCAGTTTTACTTTATCCGTCCCTGAATACTGCTCCATTTTTTTTTTATTGGATAAACTTTGCTTACCATCAAAAACTTCAAGCTGACTGGTTATATCCGACATGATATCTACTGAAATCTGCACATCTTGGACTGTTGTTGCTGCAGTTGGTACAGGTCCCTCGGACTCTTCAATAGGTTGTACAGTCTGTTGAATGGCTTTAGCTGGCAGGCATATCTCAGTCTGTTGAATTACTTCAGCAGGTACATTCTGAGAACCTTTAACAGGTGGTACAGTCTGTTGGTTGGCTTCAGCTGATGGGAATATTAATGTCTGTCTAGTGGCTTCAGATGTAGGTACAGCCTGTTGGGTAGCTTTACTTGAGACTTTAGCCTGTTGGGTAGCTTTACTTGAGACTTTAGCCTGTTGGGTAGCTTTACTATTAATTACTCTGCAGTTGAGAAAGAAGTACTTTGTTTAATACTGGCAGTGAAGAAATTTGAGACATATTTGTCAGGAAATCACGTGGTAGTATATACAGACCATAATCCATTGACATTTATCAACTCTATGAAGTGTAAAAACCAGAGAATACTTAGATGGTCATTGATTCTGCAAGAATTCAATATTGTAATTCGTTATATTCCTGGGAGGCCAAATGTTATTGCTGATGCCTTATCCAGAGGATTTCCTGTTGCAGTGCCATAATATGTAGTGTTCTTTATTCATAAGATGTATGTAAATTTTGTATTTTTTTTTACTGTGTGAAATTTCATTGCTTTGTACTTTGATTTAGTTGAAGTATTTTCATGTTGTATTTTCATGTTATATTTCATGCAGTCAAAAAAAAAATGAAATCAACCTTCAGTTAATTTTCTTTTTTTCTTAGGGGACGGGAGGGTTGTTACGAATCTTACTAGGATTCTGCCATTACTCTTGATTCTTATATTACTTTATTGTCTTATTCTATAGTTAATATAGCATCCAGTTGTATGATATGAGATTTTTGTATGTCATATATTATAGCATGCAGTAGTGTGCCTGTATTGCATTATATTGTATGAGGCTTTTGGGTTAGATTTCTCATGTGGTTTCTCCGTGTGGACGGTTGACCATATTTGGATATGGCCAGTGTGGGAACATTGTTGTCAAGCAGTCTCCGTGGTGCAGTGGTAAGACACTCGCCTGGCGTTCCGCGAGCGCTATGTCATGGGTTCGTATCCTGGCCGGGGAGGATTTACTGGGCGCAATTCCTTAACTGTAGCCTCTGTTTAACGCAACAGTAAAATGTGTACTTGGATGAAAAAACGATTCTTCGCGGCAGGGGATCGTATTCCAGGGACCATAGGATTAAGGACTTGCCCGAAACGCTACGCGTTCTAGTGGCTGTACAAGAATGTAACAACTCCTGTATATATCTCAAAAAAAAAAAAAGCGAGTGCTTATAGTTTAACCTTGATTAATTCCCATTATTGGTTGCCACAATATTATATTGAGTGTTGTACCAGTGTTTACTACTCTTAAGATTAATAATGTTTTGAATATTAGTACTACATTTTGTTAGTAGAATTTCCACAATGTTTATGTGGATGTTTAGTTGATATTTTGGTAGACGCTTGGCCGGCGGACCAAAGCGTGGCAGCTATGGTCGGGAGGAGACATGTGTTTAAGTTAAGTCATTGGTCACTGTTATTTTAGCCCATATAAATGTTAATTTCTGGTTAGATGATTGTGTAGATTACATTGATTAATCCATGTGCTGGTGATAGTGCTAATGTCTCAATGATTAGTTTTATTCTATGATATTGCATGCTGAAGAATATTTCTGTCTATTATTTATACAATTTAATTGTTATGTTTGTCCCCCTTAGCGTAAATATATTGCTCTCCATTTTATGCAGTGATGTATCTATAACCCCAAGACATATGTTGGCAAGGCCGATTTAATATTATTTCTTAACACTGCGGGAACCTTATTTAGTCTCAAGGGTGGTAACAGTGAGATGGGGAGAAAGAGAGGGGGTGGAGTACGAGTGAGGTCTTATCCACTTTCCACAAAAGGTGTTAATCCTTTCTAGCCTGACTGAACGTTTGTGTGTGTGTGTGTGTGTGTTTTTGCGTGTGTGCATGCATATGTATGTGCGCGTGCGTGTGTTACGAGGATCCCGTAAATGTCAACCTCTACCCAAAGTGAGCCACATTGAGATTTTAAATATATATGATATACTGAACAAGAATTTGATAATATTTTACCTCACTCAGTACACCTGAATAATTGACCAGAGAGGGGTACCTACCAGTCAGCCTCCCGCTCGCACATCCAGGTGTGTATTGGCGATGTATGGATGACGATAGTGATCCGTCGTCGCCTCCCACGTGGTGATTCACTAAGTTCCCGTAGATTGATGATGGCGGTTCTTCTTTATCTAACACAAAGCTCTAGAGTCAGTCACTGTATCGTTGTGTCTGTTGTGTTGCAGTTCACCAATTTACTGTACCACTGATCACTGGACCCAATATGTAAACAAAGCCTCATGGCCCTCCCACGTGGCCTGTCTGGTGAATTCACTGTTTAACACAAAGTTCTTGTGATAGCACAGTATTTTTCTTTCCTATTCGCGGCGGTTATACACTTTGTGATACCCCTAGATCTGCGATCTGTCACTGTAGCCTTAATTAAACCAAAAATATTGGCGTTTATCGTAGAGCGCGACCCCGCGACCCTCTCTCGACAGCTGGCTCGACTCGACTGTGTGTACTGGCATCTGTGTCCTGTGCATTCAGCAGGAGAGCATATGTCTAATCTTCCTCCTCTGAGGTAAGTTGGCTGTTCATAACCCAGGACTCTAAGGTTTTCACTTCCCCTGACAAAGAGTAAGTTTCCATCCATTGACATTAGGGTGATGACAGTTGGCACCAAACTGTGGGTGCCTGGCAATAAGGTCACCGACCAGCAGGGTAGGTTCTTCATTAACAAATTCATGTAGTGTGTCAAGGTGAAGTTTACTCTGTGGCACATATAGTTTGATTATATGTAGGGCAATATTGTTTAAGTGAAGAGTTACCCCCAGTGATTCATAGTCATCCCCCATGTGCAGGTCATCAATAATCTGTGCGGGAATGTTGTTGCTGACATAAGTAATACGACCCCGTTTCTGCTCCCCAGAGGGCAGGGAGAACTTGTGATAACCACTGAACCTTGGGTTGAAGTCGTCACCCACCAGTGTCTCCTGTAGCACTATGACGTATATTTGGTGTTGATAAACGTATTGCATGATATCATTAAGTCTTACAATGGCAAACGCCATTACAGTTCCACTGTAGGATGGTGAAACTTTCTTCACCGTGGTTATCCATCGTGGTGTTGGTCATCAGATGTGCTGTGTGCGGTGTTGATGCTGGTGAGAGTGTGTGCACTGGTGGTGTTGTATGTGGTGTTGCACCACCGTCATGTACTGGTGGTACTGTGTGTATGGGTGCCAGTGGTCAATGGTGTTGTTGTGTTCACTAGTGTTGATGTGTTCCCTGGTGGTGGTGTTGTGTTCACTGGTGGTGGTGTTGTGTTCACTGGCGGTGTTGTGTTCACTGGTGGTGGTGTTGTGTTCACTGGTGGTGGTGTTGTGTTCACTGGTGGTGGTGGTGTTGTGTTCACTGGTGGTGGTGTTGTGTTCACTGGCGGTGTTGTGTTCACTGGTGGTGGTGTTGTGTTCACTGGTGGCGGTGTTGTGTTCACTGGTGGTGGTGTTGTGTTCACTGGTGGTGGTGTTGTGTTCACTGGCGGTGTTGTGTTCACTGGTGGTGGTGTTGTGTTCACTGGTGGTGGTGTTGTGTTCACTGGTGGTGGTGGTGTTGTGTTCACTGGTGGTGGTGTTGTAACGACCGCTACCCGGTCGTAATAACCGCGGCCTCTATTGTAATAACCTAATGTTCCCCAGTATTAATCCTGTTATCTTGTGATCTCTCATAATCGTACTACACGCTCTCTATTGTAATTCTCCGTCTTTCTTCACTCAATACCCCAGCTTAACACTGTTACAGTCCAGCATGACCCCTCACTGGACTGCCACGTATGTAAGAGGAATATTAAATGAGGAAGATACACCAAGGACAAGGGTTATTAGTAAACAATAACAAAACACATTAACACTGCCACCACCTTCCCGACCAACCATACCTGAATGTGTCTATCACTGATCCCCCAGGAAGGCAAGGAATCAGTAACCATGGGACTCCGGGTAATATGAATTTCAGAAATAAATTTTGGAAAAATTAGTTTGTTTAATTCCCGTTACTTATTTGAATCCAAGGGTAACTTTAGTATCCATTAATAGTAGGAGAACATGGGGGCTTCCAATACAACACCTAAAAATGACAAAGAAGCAAAATATATCAAAGGGGAGTTAAGTGAATACCACTGGACAAGCTATACAATTTATTTTATGAAACATGTAAATTAAGACAATTTGAACACATCACCTATTCTATTTCCCTAGAGGCACAATGGATATTTACCGAGGACACAAAACTCAAGTGCTACTATACCTTAAATACCCGCACTACGGCCACGATGTTGATGGCTGCCCTCAGCCCCGAGGATACGGGCTTGCGGCCCTGTTCCTAATACACTCCCAAGACACACTGATGAAATTTAGTTTTTCCAGCTTATTGCTGGGAAGGATTACTCCTCCCACCATCTACTACAGCCCCAGGGCTCCACCCATTATTTTGGCACTGGCCAACCATTTAACACGTAGGCCTGAGGTCTGGCACTCTAGGGCCAATAAGGACTTGGCCCTTATCTCAGGCCAATCACCTTCACTGATCTGTCGTGGAAAGCTACATGAATTCCTGAAGATTGAGTCAGCTCTCCCCAGCTAAAGAGAAGGGGGACAAGGCGCGTCTATGGAGCCCAGGCACCTGCGAGCAATGTTTACAAAACTGATAATTTATGTTCATGCCTGTCTCCTCTAAGATAGGAGTAGGGACATTTGACTCTGCCTGGTATGGGGAAGGCCGCTGCTGAGAGGGACAGAGAGGGATGAGAGGGGGGTGGAGAGGGAAATATCTGAGTGGGGAAGTTGAGTGGGAGAAGCCAAGGTATCCACGACCACCCTACCCTCAGGTCAACCTCTTGACCTTGACAAATGGGCGACAGGGGGGGGGAAGAGGAGAGGAGACGAATGACGGCCAAGGGGAGGGGAGAAGGAAGGAGGGGAGAGGGAGAAGGAAAGGAGGGGAGAAGGAGAGGGAAAAGAGGGGAGAAGGGAGAACCAATGATCTGAGCCCAGTTCTCTGGTGGTGGTGTTGTGTTCACTGGTGGTGGTGTTGTGTTCACTGGTGGTGTTGTGTTCACTGGTGGTGGTGTTGTGTTCACTGGTGGTGGTGTTGTGTTCACTGGCGGTGTTGTGTTCACTGGTGGTGGTGTTGTGTTCACTGGTGGTGTTGTTGTGTTCACTGGTGGTGTTGTTGTGTTCACTGGTGGTGTTGTTGTGTTCACTGGTGGCGGTGTTATGTTCACTGGTGGTGGTGTTGTTGTGTTCACTGGTGGTGGTGTTGTGTTCACTGGTGGTGTTGTTGTGTTCACTGGTGGTGTTGTTGTGTTCACTGGTGGCGGTGTTATGTTCACTGGTGGTGGTGTTGTTGTGTTCACTGGTGGTGGTGTTGTTGTGTTCACTGGTGGTGGTGTTGTGTTCACTGGTGGTGGTGTTGTGTTCACTGGTGGTGGTGGTGTTGTGTTCACTGGTGGTGTTGTTGTGTTCACTGGTGGCGGTGTTATGTTCACTGGTGGTGGTGTTGTGTTCACTGGTGGTGGTGTTGTGTTCACTGGTGGTGGTGTTGTGTTCACTGGCGGTGGTGTTGTGTTCACTGGCGGTGGTGTTGTGTTCACTGGCGGTGGTGTTGTGTTCACTGGTGGTGGTGTTGTGTTCACTGGTGGTGGTGTTGTGTTCACTGGTGGTGGTGTTGTGTTCACTGGTGGTGGTGTTGTGTTCACTGGTGGTGGTGTTGTGTTCACTGGTGGTGGTGTTGTGTTCACTGGTGGTGGTGTTGTGTTCACTGGCGGTGTTGTGTTCACTGGTGGTGGTGTTGTGTTCACTGGTGGTGGTGTTGTGTTCTCTGGTGGTGGTGTTGTGTTCACTGGTGGTGGTGTTGTGTTCACTGGTGGTGGTGTTGTGTTCACTGGTGGTGGTGTTGTGTTCACTGGCGGTGTTGTGTTCACTGGTAGTGGTGTTGTGTTCTCTAGTGGTGGTGTTGTGTTCACTGGTGGTGGTGTTGTGTTCACTGGTGGCGGTGTTGTGTTCACTGGTGGTGGTGTTGTGTTCTCTGGTGGTGTTGTGTTCACTGGTGGTGGTGTTGTGTTCACTGGTGGTGGTGTTGTGTTCACTGGTGGTGGTGTTGTGTTCACTGGTGGTGGTGTTGTGTTCACTGGTGGTGGTGTTGTGTTCACTGGTGGTGGTGTTGTGTTCACTGGCGGTGTTGTGTTCACTGGTGGTGGTGTTGTGTTCACTGGTGGTGGTGTTGTGTTCTCTGGTGGTGGTGTTGTGTTCTCTGGTGGTGGTGTTGTGTTCACTGGTGGTGGTGTTGTGTTCACTGGTGGTGGTGTTGTGTTTACTGGTGGTGGTGTTGTGTTCACTGGCGGTGTTGTGTTCACTGGCGGTGTTGTGTTCACTGGTGGTGTTGTGTTCACTGGTGGTGGTGTTGTGTTCACTGGCGGTGTTGTGTTCACTGGTGGTGGTGTTGTGTTCACTGGTGGTGGTGTTGTGTTCACTGGCGGTGTTGTGTTCACTGGTGGTGGTGTTGTGTTCACTGGTGGTGGTGTTGTGTTCACTGGTGGTGGTGTTGTGTTCACTGGTGGTGGTGTTGTGTTCACTGGCGGTGTTGTGTTCACTGGTGGTGGTGTTGTGTTCACTGGTGGTGGTGTTGTGTTCACTGGTGGTGGTGTTGTGTTCACTTGTGGCGGTGTTGTGTTCACTGGTGGTGGTGTTGTGTTCACTGGTGGTGGTGTTGTGTTCACTGGTGGCGGTGTTGTGTTCACTGGTGGTGTTGTGTTCACTGGTGGTGGTGTTGTGTTCACTGGTGGTGGTGTTGTGTTCACTGGTGGCGGTGTTGTGTTCACTGGTGGTGTTGTGTTCACTGGTGGTGGTGTTGTGTTCACTGGCGGTGTTGTGTTCACTGGTGGTGGTGTTGTGTTCACTGGCGGTGGTGTTGTGTTCACTGGTGGTGGTGTTGTGTTCTCTGGTGGTGGTGTTGTGTTCACTGGTGGTGGTGTTGTGTTCACTGGTGGTGTTGTGTTCACTGGTGGTGGTGTTGTGTTCACTGGTGGTGGTGTTGTGTTCACTGGCGGTGTTGTGTTCACTGGTGGTGGTGTTGTGTTCACTGGTGGTGGTGTTGTGTTCACTGGCGGTGTTGTGTTCACTGGTGGTGGTGTTGTGTTCACTGGTGGTGGTGTTGTGTTCACTGGTGGTGGTGTTGTGTTCACTGGCGGTGTTGTGTTCACTGGTGGTGGTGTTGTGTTCACTGGTGGTGGTGTTGTGTTCACTGGCGGTGTTGTGTTCACTGGTGTTGGTGTGTTCACTGGTGGTGGAGTTGTGTTCACTAGTGTTGATGTGTTCCCTGGTGGTGGTGATTGATGTGTTCCCTGGTGGTATGATTTTTACAAGGTAGGAGTAAAGCTGATTGTAAATAATTTTTTCAAATCTTGGTTGAAAATATCCGTACGTTTGATACGGGTCTGTAATTGTTTGTCAGCTGCCTCGTCCCTCTTACGCAGTGGCGTTACTCATGCTTTTTTAAGGATATCAGGGAAAAAAATTACACTTGAAATTTATTAAATAGCTGAGCTATGGGTGGAACAAGGGCACGAGTGGCACTTTCAAACGGAAAGGCATACCATAGATTGTACTTCACTAATGTTCCCAGTTTAAGTTTTAAGTGAGTGAATTACAGATATTTAAATTTGCTTATTTGTCTATATTTACAAGAGTTTTTACATTCTTGTAAAGCCACTAGTTCTACACATATTTCTAATGTGTCTCAGGTGTTCACATCACGTAGAAAGTGGTCAAGGCGGTGTCCGTCACTTTCATCACAGATT